GGAGAGAAAAAAGAAAGGGCAAGAAAATGGTCAAAGTAGGGAGAAAGTTACAGCATTGTGTTGCCCCGAGTCACCATCAACACATATGGAATGTTTCGTAAAAAAAAAAAAAATTGGGAGGAAAAAAAGTTTGTTTGGGAAAAAAAGTATTACCTAAACCTAATTAATTGGTTCTTGGAATGGAGATACACGAGCCCTCACCAGGTGTAGAGGTGCTTGTGACCCTCACCAGCTGTAGAGGTGCTTGTGACCCTCACCAGCTGTAGAGGTGCTTGTGACCCTCACCAGCTGTAGAGGTGCTTGTGACCCTCACCAGCTGTAGAGGTGCTTGTGACCTATAGGGTCACCAGCTGTAGAGGTGCTTGTGACCCTCACCAGCTGTAGAGGTGCTTGTAACCCTCACCAGCTGTAGAGGTGCTTGTGACCTACACCAGCTGTAGAGGTGCTTGTGACCCTCACCAGCTGTAGAGGTGCTTGTGACCTATAGGGTCACCAGCTGTAGAAGTGCTTGTGACCTACACCAGCTGTAGAGGTGCTTGTGACCCTCACCAGCTGTAGAGGTGCTTGTGACCCTCACCAGCTGTAGAGGTGCTTGTGACCCTCACCAGCTGTAGAGGTGCTTGTGACCCTCACCAGCTGTAGAGGTGCTTGTGACCTATAGGGTCACCAGCTGTAGAAGTGCTTGTGACCTACACCAGCTGTAGAGGTGCTTGTGACCTACACCAGCTGTAGAGGTGCTTGTGACCTATAGGGTCATATTCAAAACAAAAAAACAAGTGGAAACTGCAGAAGACCCGTGTACTTGTCTAACCTGCGCTTGAAACAATCAAACGAACGCATGTTTATAATGTTTTTGGGTAATGTGTTACAATGTTATTCACCCTCTACCTCCCCTCCCGCTCTCAAAGCACCTTTTTTTGTCTCATTATCATTCTCTCTACAGTAACCTATTCTGTGGCACACGTGAAGTCAATATCATGACAATTACATACATACGAATCGGTATACATATGAATACTGACTCACGGTCAGTGATTTTAAGGACAATTATGTGAGCAAAATTAATATTCATATTCGACAGGTAATTGTAATTTTTGTATGTCAATAAAAGCCATTAAATTGCTTATCGTGAGAGGCAGTAAAGATGGTTTAGTGTTGGTTCTAAGACTCCCATCAACCTCTGGAGGGTGATTTAAGGTCACCACAACAGCTTACTGACCCGCCATCAGGTATACCCCTAGTCGCTGAACATCGTCCAGCACTACTGAAGTATACTCTGAGTATATTGACCTGGAAGTATAGTACAGCACTCGATGGGTTTATAACCCTCCGGTGAGAAGCTTAGTATTGATAACTAAAATTAACATTACATCAATAGATAGCTTGTCGAGTAGTATGCATAATTGCATACTATTGATTGTTGACCAGACCACACACTAGAAGGTGAAGGGACGACGACGTTTCGGTCCGTCCTGGACCATTCTCAATCGACTTGAGAATGGTCCAGGACGGACCGAAACGTCGTCGTCCCTTCACCTTCTAGTGTGTGGTCTGGTCAACATTCTTCAGCCACGTTATTGTGACTCATCGCCTGCATACTACTGACAAAATCGGAGCATAATTGTCGATAATGATTGGCAATAACTGTCAATTTATCCATTTTAGTCTTTGAAAATATAGTTATTTGTAATATGTGTACCAGGAAACGGGATCCTGGTTCGATTCCCGGAGGGTGAGCCGGTGGCTGAGCGAACAGAACACTGGACGTGTGATCCTGTGGTCCCGGTTTCGATCCCGGGCGCCGGCGAGAACCAATGGGCAGAGTTTCTGTCACCCTGGTGCCACCTGTTACCTAGCAGTAAATAGGTACCTGGGAGTTAGTCAGCTGTCACGGGCTGCTTCCTGGGGGTGGAGGCTTGGTCGAGGACCGGGCCGCGGGGATACTAAGCCCCGAAATCATCTCAAGATAATCCCCCCCCCCTTGTTCCGTCCCAAAGATTTTCTTTTGAATTAAGAGTATATGTAACATACCACTGACAGAAAGAAGCCCATACGCGAAGCTTCCTGAAGCAGTATGCGACATACCACTGACAGAAGAAGCCCTTACATGTACCCTCCTGTGATAGAAGTTGTGACATGTAGCCTCTGTATCACACTATGACATTCAACTACATGACGTTGACATGTCATACCACCGTCATACCACCGTCATACCACCGTCATACCACCGTCATACCACTGACAGAATCCCTGACATGCGTTTAAGAGCGCAGCACAATACGCACAAGCGAGACATCTATTTGGGTCAGTATTATATTACCTGCCTTCTGGACTTGCATTTTTGTTATGGTGTTCTCGCTCCATAAAACAAATTGAGGAGCTTCTTGGAAGACGCAGCATGTGCGGGAAGCCTTCCTAAATGTGTGAACCCACCGCTAAACTATATTGTAGCAAGACATAATCATACAGTTTACAAAGTATCTAAAACGCGAACATATTTCGAATCCATCATTGGGCGACAGGAATTTGATAAATTAACAAAGTTGATTTAAAAAATATATTTTTTTTATAATATTTAGTATTAAAAGCATTCCTTATATATATTATATTATATATATATATAATAATTCTAGCACAGAAGATTATATATATAATATATATAAATAATTTCTTCGGGAAATGTGTTAATAGGGTCTTAATTGGTGTTCACTGTGATTGTGTTCACATTACTAAAGCACTGTGTATCATGCAGTATATTATTTGCAGAAAAAAAACTGAGCAATCTAGTTCTGAAGATGTTATATTATTTTTGCGGTCCAGATAATTTGTTACGCATGGAGTGAGTGACTTGATCATTAGAGGCCGAACGGAAACGGTTAAATAATTATTAAATACACACACACACGTTTAAAAACGGTAGTATGTGATATATTTCGGTACGTTTTGGATCATTAGTTGTTGTAATGTTACGAGATGTGACGTGTGGTGTTATCGTCACGTGTTACGAGAGGTGACGTGAAGGGCAGTATTTTCAAAGTATTAAACTCGTCCCATATACTAGGCTATAGCTTCCTCCCACATACAAAGTAACGAGCCATATCCCACATTCTCCCACGTACACAGATGACAGCCTCCTCCCACATAGGCTGTAATAGGCTTCCTCCAGTCATCACAAAAAAAAGAAGCCCTCAAGTTAAAGTGATTTTATTGAGACAAGAAAGAAATACATCTCAAAGGGATAGAGTAGCTTAGGCTATTTCTACCCCCCTTAAGGAGACCTCATTATCCTGAGAACTTCAGTATGCTGACCGGGCGAAACCTTTAACTCGGTGGATAAAGTATTTCCTAAAGTGAACCTTTTTAGTTTACAAAGTAACTCTACGCGTGTTAGTCTGAGCGTCGATAAGGAGGAATAATCTAAATTCATGAATTAATCCAGCCAACAAGATTAACATTGATTCATATGTTCATTCACCCCAAAATATAGGCTAAGCTACGTTCATTCACAGGCTGGTTCATTAATAAAAAAGAGGATAATCTAGATTAATTTTCAAACTAGTCCAGGTATATTAACCCCTGCGCGTGTAAGAGAGAAAACCCTTTCTCCCCCCTCCCCCCACAGCACCTCTCAGATGATGATTCATAAAAATTAAGCCACCCCAAGAGGTGGCACGGGCATGAATAGCCCGTAAACCTCCCAGATATCTATAAAATGCTGTTTTTTTCTGCTGGAACGGCTGCTGCCGCCTTCCTCTGGACGTATTGAGAGGTGGGAGCACTAACCACGCAACCTGACAGGTTTTTGTCCCTGGCCGCTCGTGCTCTATCTGCTTCACGACCTCATGGTCCGAAATTAATGTTAACTGACGTAGTCTTTCCTCTCCATCACTGAAGGCTTGATATGAACTAGAGTATACAAGGTTTTTATCTGATATATTATTATTATTATTTTGTTAATGGTGTAAAAAATATGTTAAAGTGGAAGCTAATTGAAGATATTTAGATATTAATGCGCTTGTGATATTTCTTTGATGCAAAAAGCATTTTGTTTACACAATGAGATGATCACATTCAGTTGCCCTCGTAAGAAAAGGTTTTATCAGATTGGTCTTTATATTTAAAGGTGCATAAATGTGGTTTTTATATAATTTTGTGAACTATACGTTAAGCACCTCAAAACCCACGTCTCGAATTATAGCCTTGTGTTTGTCTTAAAAAATATATCATATGTAGGCAAGTAGTAATCGTTGTTGCCTGAGAGAGAGAGAGAGAGAGAGAGAGAGAGAGAGAGAGGCTAAGAGAGACGAGAGACTGAGCGAGAGGAGAGTTGAGAGAGAGAGAGAGAGAGAGAGAGAGAGAGAGAAAGCGAGCGAGCTAGTTACCTCTGCTTAGATCGTCATTACCTTGCCCCAGTAACAATATCCCTCCCTCCCCACCCCCCCCCCCCCCCCCACAGAGCCTTAATTCCCAATTTGAAGTTTGCCTCACCTGTGCCTCTCACCACCAGCTCACTATTCCCTCCTACCATCCTTTCCTACCCCCCCCCCCACCCTACAGCAGCCCATCCTCCTGTTTAGATAGTACTTATAGGACGGATGAGGACCATAGTACATATACCCACGTGCAACGCAATTAGAAAATGGAAATAGGTACTATTGAATTTGGACAGACCGGAAAATGATTTTTAACTTTTAGACAAATTAACCTAACTTTCCTAGGCCTAATACACACTATCTGAGGCCTAATATAGTACATATATGTGCTATACTAGGCTTAGGACTTTAATTTTGTGTTTTAGCTTCATTTTTTCTGACTATAAAGTGAATAGTACAAAATTCTACTATCTAATTGCTTAGTACGTCAATGTTTGTACTATGGAGCATATAGACACACTAAGTACTGTCTAAGCCAGGTGGGATGGGTTGCCTCCAGCCATCACTATCGATCCCCAACCTTGATTTCTCGGTGTACAAATCTTAATTTGTCTCCTTGTTGGGAAGGTCGAGTGGTGACGATCTCCAGTGGCCTCGGGAGGATGGCGGCGCCCATGAGGTCA